GTCCATAACAGCTACTTCTCTGGTACAGTGACTAAAACAGAGAATCTAACTCTCGATTGCCTAAGCAAGAAAATATTGAGAAACAGTAGGGAGGTTTATATATCCCTCTGCATCTGCTGCTGATGAAAAACATACTTGGGATCTGTGTTCTCAAGTCAAAAAGAACAATGAAAAATCTGTAAGATTTTATAGAATAAACATGAAACATGATCAAAGGATTAGCATACGCTCCTGAAGTATGGTTCAAAGATTTCTGTTCATGGAGTTTATCAAAGAGAAAGTTAACGAGGGCTCTTACATGCCTCTGAAAATACATAGCTTCAATCTAGCAGACAAAGATCCAGAACAACAATCTTAACTTACAGTTTACCATAACTGACCACTGAGAGAGTTACCCAGCATTATTGTAGCTTTTATGTTAATTTTTATATCGAGATCTGATGTTTTCTCTTTCAAATAATGCAATCCAGTCCAAAAAGGAGCTAATTCAGGACAATCAGCTTTCTATTATACAAGAAGTCAGACTAGAAGATCATAGAAATCACTTCAGACTTTTTAATTTAATCTAATTAAATAGTTTAAATCTAGTTTAATTTGTTCTTTCGGTTGTTAATAAATAATATTTTTAATTTTCATGTCTGACTGCAGCCTCACCTAATCCCAATTATTTCTTACTGTATGTGGGTGGTGGGATGTTGTCATCCTACCAGCACCTCCACTTTCAACCCTAAGACTTGTATCATTATCTTGTTACACAACCTGCAGGGCTGATATTGTTGATATGATGCCAACCACAATCACTGAAAAATGGAGGATCCAACACAGCTGTTTGAAGACCAAGTCCTCTTCCACTTTTTAAAAACTTAACTAGAATATAGTGCTCAGATGAATGTAATCTCATCACAGATCTCTGTTGAGGGTTTTTAGCACATCATTCTGCTTGATTATTTTACAACAAAATATATAACTTATCAGACTGCATGTATAAAAATCCAGGCTGGCACCGATATTAGCAATTTTTTTCTTACCTGTTCATTCAGCTGTGTTTTTGCTTGGTGGTCCTGGGAACAGACTGTCATCCTGACAAGGACGAACGTCACTGCACTGAATGGAGAGAAACTTTTCCTTTACAGCACCTCTTGAGGAAGCAGTCCATCTTGTCTGGGGAGCAATTAGTTGCTGTCCTTCAGGCTCAGGATCTTTCATTCCTTATGCCTGATGGCAGAGATGAAACAAGATAATCCTGTTGTTTCAGGCAAGATGTCAATCCTGCGTCCTCACCCCTAGGCTGTTTCCTTAGGTATGATCCTGTTTTAGGAAGGGGCAGGCACTCCACCGCTCTGTGCTGTCCTCATCATGTTTGTGTGCATGAGTTGTTCCCATCTGTCCTGTTTCAAAAGGCAAGCTGCAGCAGACAACTCTCTTTACCTTTTTTGTTATCCCACATTTTGCTGCCTCGTAATCCACCGCCAGCTTCCTGAACCACCTGGCCTTTAAATACTTCTTATACTTTCAAGAATTGTTAACAGTTGTGACGTAAAATATCAGTGCTACCAAATGTCCCAGTGTGTTCTCAAACCAAGCTTCCACCTACTGGGATTCTGAAAAGACACTCTGTTATACTATTATCAGGAAACTGCCTGGCTGAAACCAAATGATGTACTTAGAGTAAAAAAGCATTTCATTGGTTTTTAAGAAAAGCTTTGCTGCTTGGTAAAACCTTCGCATAAAGCCAGGGTAATCCTAGACAAATGTGAGAACCATAATGCTTCACGGATGCTAAACATGTCAACCTCCAGGATGGAGTTAGTTCCTGGGAAGGAGCTGGCGAATGAGGAATAAGTAGAACAGAAGACTATACATTTAATAAAAAGAATTAAAAACCAGCAAAACGCTCCTATCCATTATCCGAGAATGCTGAAGATCTTGTACACTAAATGAAGGACTATCCAGTGGGTGATTAAAGACATTCCTGTATTTCTTCACTTTTAAGTGGATTTCTTTACAGTATTAGAGCTCTTCAGTTGCACCTTTCTTTTTATATGAGGCATGTTCATAAGTCCATACAAATGACTTTCTAAAGTGCTCTTTGGTATTAAGCCACTGGGGACATGATGCTGTGTGTGTTCAAAGTAAAACAAATCCAAAAGTCTGTTCTGATACATGTGCTTTCCTTCCAGTCCAAGTGTGTGTGTTTTTTGTTTTTTTTTTTATAAGCCTGCAGACGAAAAAACATGGAATTGAAGTTCAGATGGAATAATGGATGTGTAAAGATGGACAATCTTGGATGTTTTAAGATGGAAAAATGGATGTCTAAAACATGTAACAGAAGTAAATGACTGAACTGGATAGAAAGCCAATCATTTGGCAGAGTCTGGGGCATCTGCAGAGACAACTTTCTCCTGAGAAAATCTGAAATAGATAATTCAAAACACTGTTACAAAACTCTATCAATAATGAAAGAAGTATCACTTATTCTTTCTATAAAAAGGAAAACATAAGTTCCAATTCTGAGTATACGCAAAAGGCTTCTAAGTGTGAAATATATTACAGGCTTAAACCTTTATTTTTACCTTGAACACATCAGATCCAGTTTTCAAAGCTGTTCAGCACTTGGCAAACACATCATTTTCAACTGCAATTATGAAAGATCACTTTTAAAAAAGCTGACTTTCACTTTTGAAGACCAATCTGTAGAAGGTACTGAAAACCAGGACTCACTCTTTTACCAGTTTCTTCTGAGGGAGTGATGCTGGCAACATAAGAACTTTGCTAAAGAGCTCCTGAGAACTGGTCTCACAAACTTAGAAAATCTGTGTGAAGACAGCAGGAGTTATCAGTCAAACTTGATGCCAGTCTAATTATTGCTTCAAACAAATAGCATCAACAGGATTCATTTTTCAAAAAACATCTTTGGTACACAGTAGTAGTAGCCACACCTGTATCCTCTTAGAATGAACATATTTCTTTTCTGCTCAATACCTTGCACAAGTACACACAGAATTTGTGCAGTGCTTTTGTAAATTTGTCAAGAGTTTAACTCTCCCAGTTTTTTACTTCGCTGAATTTATTGTCATGCTTCATCTAATGCTACACTGAAATTACAGTGGACTTGCTCCAAATGCTGTTAGCCCTAATACGTGAAATTCCCTCATATAGAGAGAAAACTGCACTTATATTATGCCTGATCAGGGCCACAAAGCTGCTCAGTTCCACTTTGCTTCTACCACATTGGCTTAACTCATCTAATCAAGTTGTTTGTGCTCAGCAGTGTTATGTTGGTGAGTGCCACTCAATCCCACAAAGTACTGTGCTCATATGCTAGAAGTCTGGGACCATGAAATAAAGATTACTTTCTTATCAGCAATAGTGTGTTTCACCTTTATTGCACTATCTGTCTAGCTGACAGTTATTTTACTTGGACTATCAAACTAATCCCACAAAACGTAGTAGCACTACTCATGAATTTAAAAGCAGTTAAACCACATGCTTCATTTCTCATTTCTTACACTGATTTTATACAAGGTGATAGTTAAAAGTAAGGGCACTGGAAACCAATAGAGTTCAGTATTAAAGAAATACTGCATTTTCTTGGGGGAAAAAAAAAAAAGAATTGAAACTGTAAGTTGTCTTACAGTTCCTGAAGAATCTTTGGCAAAGCTCTCAAAAAATCAAATAAAAATTGATATTTTGACATACAATATAGGAATAAAATTCTGACTTGCAAAGAAGTCACAGCTTTTGAAATTTCTTTCAGTTTTCCAATAGAGGCATGGGCTTCCTTAAGAAATGTAATACCTAGAAAATATACATGAACATGCATTGTTTAGTCATATCTGTGACTCTCTTAAAGGTTGCTCATAGACATCTTTATCCCTAGGGACTGAAAATCAATGCCATGTAGAACACAGCACATGGTAAATATATTTCTTTTAAAGAGGTTATTGAGAAAATACTTGTGATTTTTTTCTTCATGAGAACTGCAATGGACTGGCAGCACAGATCCAATAAGAAACATAACTTTATAAGTTGTTACGAAGAAGCCTTGTTCCTTAGGGGGCATACTCCCATAGAACATTTTTCTGAAATTTTTTCTGCACAATTTGGTTATTTGGAAGGGTCTATCCTATCAGACATATTTTGGTGACCGGTAATCAAGGACAATGGAGGATTTTTTCTTAAAGAGCTCAAACAGAACTACAGAGGCCATGTGTTCATGGGGCAAATGAACTCACTCTTCAAGAGTACAACAAGGTCCTGGTGTGCACACTATCACACAGAGAGTTGACGTAGTGCAATCCTGGGAGTGGAAGAAGGAGTAGATCAAAGGGATGAGAGGGAGATGAATGCTTCTGCTAGCAGAAGAGTGGCAACTCTGTTATTTTAATGTCTACTTTGCTGTGTAGTGCCAGTACCAAAAGAAAAGGTGCTTGAGATCATGAGGTTCCTCCATCTGGACTTTCCTGCTTTGGCTTTTTGCGCCATTCAGCAGGCAGCATACACCCAGGAAGAGTTCTTGGCCCTTGAAGAAGATTTTGAATCTCCCTGGGGAAGATTCCTGCTGTCCACGCTGCTCTTCTTCCCAAATGTAGGGCATTGAAGGCAAACCCATAATCAGCAAGAGGGTCAGTGTTCACCAGAGGGATGCATCTCTGCCTGGTTCCTGCCTGGCCTGGCCTCAGGGAGGGCTCTACCACAGACACTGCCTGTGCCTGTGGCCGTGATGACGTCCATCCCAGCAGCCGGCACCACACATAGGACTGTGGTCAAGCCTGGCTGTGAAACTCCTGCTGGGCACGTTTCCACTGTGTCGGGGCCATCTTCTGGTTTGTGTCATAGACCACGGAAGGTTCAGATTTTATCCTCCCGTTTGTATGGACGATTCCCATGTCTTTGAAAATATGTTCCCACTGAAGATGAAGGCAAATTCCCACCGCCATTAGTGGACTTAGGATGTGTCCTCATCTCTCTTCTTGCTCATTTCCTTTGTTGCAGTAGAACTATTCCTTTATTAAAGCTTTTGCCTAGGGGGAAAAAAAAAAGCCACATTACTAAATAAATTATGAAATATTTGCATTTATGAAGCCAACCCCTTACGCCTAGCTCCTCCTCTGACATTACAAGGACACTTTTTAAAGAGCTTCAGCTTCTGCACTACCATTATTCCTCTCTGTGGAATCCAAGACTGGGAGGCTACCAAGCAGTGGGCCACAATGAGCCAAGTGACAGTAAGTAATGCCTGCTGGCTTTGACTCAGTGCAGGGCCAAGTACTGGTGGCTTGGTTAGTGCTAGAGAATGAAGTTGCATCAGGATGTAGGAAGAGATAGAACCAAAGAATGTACAAAACTGGGGAAATTCCTAAAGAGCTTTAATTTTTCTGTGAGAATAAAAGGCCAAAATTTATTACAAATTCTGTAATAACAATGCCAAGAGCAAAGTGTTAAAGGCATCAGTTTGCTTATCACAGTTTATGCTCTTTTGTATTTGTATTTACCTTTTTTGCCTGCAGTTATCTGAATTCCATGAGAATGAATTAAGTTATAGTGTCACACATAATGAAACGGTCTGCAATTAATCTTGTAAATGTTCTGCACCTCCATCTTCACTGCGTTTTTATTGGTTTTTAAATCTTAATTGTAGCTTCCTTTTTTAAAAAAGAAAGAAAAAAGTAGCATGTTATTCAAAGACATTGTTCAAACTATTTAGGTTGGCTTGTAAATTGCTCCCTCCTACTTTTATATATGTAATGCTTTTGATTTTGCCTCACCCCACCTCTTGGAAGTTTGGTAACAAACAGGGAGCTGCTTCCTCTCCAGGTGATAGGATTTGTTTGGCTTTTAATACTTGGCTAAGTCACTTCAGTGTGTGCTTCTCATTTTTTTTCTCTCTGTGGCTCAGCCTGTGGAGGTTATACCTGTTAAACAGATAAATACTCAGCAGCTATCACAGTAAGTGAAACAGATAGTTGACAATATTTCTGCATGATTAACTCTCAATGGCTTGCTGTGATTGAAATCAAGGTCTCTGGCCTCCACTGATGTCTCCCACCCTAATGTTCCTTCTGCTCCTCTCTTGGCTCACCTTCTGTTGTCCTCTTCGCTCTTCTGAGTTTTCCTCTGAGTTCTCTCATTCTGATTTCTCTGGTTCTCCATGTTATTTGGCAGAAAAGAGAAGGGCAGGTTCCTGGGCAGTAGGAAACAAAACTACAGCAACAGTCTGTCTTTGTTGCACAACATTTCTTCTATGCTTTTTCCTCACAAAATATCTCATGCAAATAGTTAGGTCTCTTGTTCTCCTTGAAAATCTTACTTTCATGCAAAAAATTAATTGGAGTAGATAGAAAGCAAGAGAAGAAAAGATGCAGATTTCATTTGTGCAATGCCCAGGAAGGATTACAAGATCAGTATAAGCAATGGAGCAGCTGCTAGGGGAAGGAAGCAAACAGTTTCTGAAACATGCACCGAGTTGGTGTTCTTAATCCTCTGCGTGAATGGGTGGGCAGTGGTGTCAAGCATAAACACACGGGTGCAAGAATACAGTTTTAAAATTGCACTATAGAAATCTTGATTTCTGGCTGACAGAACCTTAGCCTAAAAAGGAAACCTGTAAAAATCGAGACACAGAAAAAGCCCTGGAGCTAAATACTGCCACACTTTGGGGAGTCAGAAGTATAGGAACAATGGCAAAACCCCAGCATGCTCAACGACGTGGCTTTTAGCAAACAATTGACAGGTTTCAGAAGGCGACAGAGAAAAGGTGCACTGCTATAATGAGACATTATTATCTGAGGGCTTTAATGCATGTAAAAACAAATATACTAGTTAGTATATGATGAAGCACAACAGTGTGGCTGATTTGCATGCACAATTTCTATGATTAATAAATTATGCAACGCTAGGACAAGTGTACTACAGTGAACTGCTTGCAGCAACCACGAGCACTCCAGCAGGTCACACTGAACACTCTGTCCTGCTCTGGTAAAGTTTTGAGTATTTAATTTTTAGCTTGCAGCTCTTAGGCTGCAAAATGGTGAAAGGAGGGGAAAGATGTTCCTCGCTTTTACCTGATTTGCAGATGATGCAGAATGGCCACCAATTACCTCATGTAAAAATGATACTTGAACTCAACTGAAAAAAATAAAATCAAGGGGATTTATTTGAATAAAAATGTAACAGTTGCTTAAGAATCAATGTATATATTTCAAATCCTAATGTTTTGTACTTAACAATTTGAGTAAAATTAAATTATCAAATATGCATATAATACTGGAACAAATAATTTAAAAACAGTAGGTAAGTATTAAAAAATTGTATTACAAACTACCTCCTGATGCCAAAATCTGAAAGACAATGGCTTCAGATGCCATTCGCAGCAGCTTTTACTGCTGAAGAATTCTGAGAATATTCAACAGAGCAGGCTTTTAATCTGGTATATCTGACTGAATAGGAAAGTGTCAGATACAGTTATTGTTCATATGTATGTTCATATATGTTCAGGGTATCAGGCTATCTATCCAAGACTGATACCCTAGCTTGAAATCTGAGATCTGGCTCTCTGCCCCACACTGTGGAGAATGTATTCCTGTGCTTTGCCTAATACAAATTCATTTCCTTTACATTCTCATCTTTAAATTTGTTGGTTTTTTTTTTTTTTTAAATCTCTTGTGTAATATGAAAAGTGCATCATATTCTTGCATCACATTCTGAGCACAGTTAGGCTTTGGCTTGCACTGAGGTTGTAGCAGACCCTGCCAGCACATCTCTGCCTCCTGAACATTTTACCCAAGGCATAGGCAGCTTACATGTTTGAAAGCAATTACTGTGCTAAGTATCCAATGATGTATCTTTCCCAGAAGCTGAAAATGAAGGTATAAAAGACATCTACACAATAATTTATGGGTGTTAATGTATGGGTGTAAGTTTCTCTGGGGATAATTATGTGACCACGCTAATAATGCAGAAGATGCTTTGATACATTAAAAAAAAGAATGGTCTTTAGCATTTCAGGACTGTCAGGAGTGCATATACTTGAACAGAAGAGAGGGACGAGCAACCCGTATGTCTTCTCAAAAATAGCCCATTCTCTTAACACCGCAGGCATGCCAAGAAGACACTGTTCAATGTAAGAACTGATGTTTAGAGGCATTTGCTGGAAACTTCTTGTTTTGAGAGCAGAAAGGTGCAAACAGCAAACTGCTGGTGAAATACTGTCATGAGCCACTGCACAAGTGGGAGAGGCACGGGTTACAACTGAAAGAAGGGGCATTGCTGGCAGTTGGATGGACAAATCATCCACAGCTTTGCAGACTTTGGTACTTCTAAAAACTAGTCTAGCCAACTTTGAAGCTGACTTTGCTGTGTTTCAGAAATAGACCTGCAGGCCTTTATGACAAGTCCAGTGTCAGCCTTCATTAGCATGCCTTGAAGAAGGGAAGGTTCCCAGCTAGGTCAGAGCAATTTCTCCCAAAAGTTCCCTTTGCTGGCTGGCAGGCAGCTGACATGGAACATGAGGTCCTTGAGAAGATCCCCAGCACACTGGTGGAAGGGATGGCTCCCATTGCTAGGCTTCAAGGTGTTTTAAGTCCTTGTGGAGACACCTGGAGAAATGCCTCCATAAAGACGCCCTGTGAAATGGCCTCTGGCTGGATGCCTCTGCCTGCTCTCCAGTGGAGTAACTGCCCAGCTGGAATGAAACTTCACACAGGTTAGGTTTTAACACCTTCCCAGTATTTTAGCTTTTGTCTTAGTAAGCCTGTCATCTCATCCTTTAGATGGCCTCTTCCCTTTACATCTGTATAAAATTGCTCAGCAAGCCACTACCTGAGGGCTTCCCAGCCGCTGGTGTTGCAGGAGAATCCTGAGGGGCTGACAGGAAAACCATCGGGCTTGGTTTCCTGGGGTGATGGGGACATGTGAGAGCAGGTGGGTGGGTGGGGAAGGCCGAGGCAGGCATTGCAAGAGGCCATGTTTGCATTTCCTGTCACTGGAGCACTTGTGGGGCTGCTGGTACAGGGCCTCATCTTGTCTAAGTAATTAGAAGGCCATTCCTACTCAATAATTATATCTGCTGTTGTGTTTGTTGCAAACTCCCCTGTCTTACAGCAAGATTTAGTGGATTAATAATGTGAGTTTTGGCCTCTCATGCATAAAAATTTTCATGCATAATATTCTCATTTAGTCTAACCAGAATGGAGCCCAAGGGTCTGAATAGCCATACCTGTGCATCAAGGGGATGAGACATGGGGATTCCAGAAGGAGAAGAGCCTTCTGCTCTCTCCATGCTGTATCCAACCCTTCTGCTCTTCTGCAGCTGCAGTGTGGCTCACCAGGTCCCTTCCCAGGGGCTGTGCTGCATGCTCTCCTCCACGGGCACAGAGGGCTCAGCAGGTAAAGCTGTGAAGTGTTTGACATTTTGATAAAGAATAGCACCTTTTAAATTAAACTCTTCTAAAAATATGCAAAAATACTTCACACCAGCGACAGCGTGTGCTATGAGGGCATGTAAGTTTGAGCAAGGGGATGTGAACCTGATGTCACACGGCTGGCCTGACAGATACAGGCCATTCAAAAATCCAAAAGTTCAGATTGCTGATCACAGGTCTGTTTTGGGAAAAAGAGCATCTACCCATGTTTCATAATGTGCGTAATGGAAATACTGGGAGATATGCAAATACAGACATTATGCAATGAAAGGAAAACTACATTAAAACTGTTTACAGACGGAAAAAATAAGAACCAGAACTGCAGCCTTTTTATTGCTACACCACTGAAATTAGTGTGTGCCCAACCTACTTAGGCAGTGTAGGGTACAGGGCTTCTTTCCATCTTCCCACTATTGTTTACGCCTCTTTAGTAGATGCTGACAGGGAGGCAATCAATCTGGAGCACACTGGAAGAGAAATGCTGTGAACAGTCTTGGCTCAATGATATCTACCAATTGAACAAATAATTAAGGATACCAATTAGCACTTACAGTCAAGGGACAGGTCTGGGGAGCAGGACTGTGACACACCACTGTGTCAGCATTGGGATGAAGACTCCATGCTGTTGAGCTCTGTGAGTTAAACATTGTGGCTGAGCATCTCCCATAGGAAATACAGGTGGTGGAGCAGATCCCAGAGCCCTCTGGTGCACCATGGAGCACCTCACCCGAGCTGATTCCAGTGAAGGTCTCCTTGTTGTTCCTGTACATGTCCTGTACACGAACATGTGATGCTGTGGGCAAGATGCAAGAGGTCAGGCCAGTTGGGTCAGTGTCTGCCATGAAAAAATGGACAAGACAAATTTTATCTTGGCTTATCGAAGCCAAGCCCTACTGTCCCAGCACTCACTGCTGTCTAACAGGCAATTTTCACAGCCACAAATAGTTATTACTTGACCACAGCTGGTGAAAAAATGGAAAGCATGCACATAAAATAATTTGACAAGCTTCAGAGGAAAAACGTTACTTAACATTATTCGGAAAACTTTTTGCTCATATGTAGAGATAAAGAAAAAATCCATTTCGTGCAAAACATCTAGACTATTTACACTATTTTCATTGAGCTATGAGAGTCAGCTTTATCTTCAACCCAGGTTGACTAAACATACAATCCAGTTTTGCACAGTTCTCCCATTAACCAGGCCAGATACAGTAGTTTTATTTCTTCAAGAAGTACACTCAAATGTGATATGACATTCATTTATTTGGTACTTTGAACACTTTGTTGATTGATTGATTTTTTTCAGGATGGAAAGTGAAGGAAGTCTTCAGTAAATTCTTGTGGTCATAGGGTATTTCTTGATAGCTATTTGACACTTGTATACAGTCAGGGGTATGGACTACAAACACAGCAAAACAGAAATATTAGCAGGGCAGGTAAACCTTCAAACATAAGTTTACAGCAATTCAGGAAAAAAAAAAAGTGAGATATAATCCTATAAATGTACCTAAGAACATATTAAAAATTGATTCAAAAAATGCTACTGCAAGTTTGCAAGTTAGCTTTGCCTTTATAGCAAATCTATGCAAACTTCAAATGCTAGGCTTGAGAACAGAGGTATCAAAAATTAACAGCCACATAATCTGCAGTGTGAAAATGTAGATGAAATAACATGTTCAAATATTTTCTTCTCTCTCTTTTTTTCCCCCTAATTTTCTCAATTTTTCCTTTGGCAGCTATAAAACCATGTAACCAATCACAAATAGCTATAGATGGAAGAGAGAGACCATAAAAAGAACATCTTCTCTCTTAATTTATTTTATTCATTCATTTTTTGGACGTGTTTATTGGTTTATATGATTGCTGCACATGAATAAAAGCACTAGAAACATTCCCAAGCTGTTGGTAACAAATGATTCAAAGCTCATTTCTTCTCCAAAAATTAATCATAAAAATGAAGCCTTCTTGTTCCCAGACTACTTGTCTTCCTGTCTGCATCCAATTACGCCTGACTTTTAAGAAATTCAGCCCAGCCTCAGCAGACATGATCTGATCCCAACAGAACCTGGAACAGGCGGTGATTTTGAAGCATTTTGGGGTACTTTTCTCCTGTCAACAGCCCATCCCAGACAGCCTACATAGCACAGCAAGTTTTCATTTTTCCTCACATCCCCTGCCCAGCATTTCTCACTGACGTCCCCTGTGAAGCACTGCTGGCAGCAGCGCGCTTTGCTTCAGTGTCACAGTGCAGGGAAAAAACAGCCATGTTTTACCCATAAAATGCCTGCTTTTGTAGCTAATGAAGTGAAAGTCTAGTGCATCTGGTAACTCACAGGGCCATTTTTTTTTTTTCCAGAGGGAAAACATAATTTAAGGGAGATATTTCCTACACATTTTATGTAACGAGGGGCTATGCTGTTTGGAAGGAACAGTCTATTTATATCCACATGGAAGCATCATTGCAACTTTCGTAGTGGATCACCAAATGTCTAAAAGCATTGTAGATGTGTTTGTTCTGTGTACAGATGAACCCACCACTCCTCCAAGCTTGCTCTACAGCACGGTTTAGGTCTCCAATGCAGGTCCACTGAACTTCATCCTTCATTGAAACAGACCATTTGGAGTGATCCTGGATCGAATGGAAGGTGGAATTCAGTGGCGTCCCTATGAGATTTATGTTGTAGACATAGTACTGGAGAGAGCAGTTTGAGGGAAGCTTTTGGCCAGAGTGCTGCCAGGATTCAGCCAACAAATCAGTCTTCAGTTCCTGAGCCACCCAGGCCACGTAGATATCTGTGGGATAGCAGAGGATGGGAGTCAGCCCATCATTTTCCTTCATTTAAGAAGGAATCAAAAAGGATCACTTAAACTGGGCTAACTTCTCTCCAATGCCTGAAGTGAACCAGATGAGATTTTACCCCCATCCTGCCCTGATTTTATTTCCCGAATTCATTCTTGTTTTCTCTTCTTTCACTGGAAAACTTGTTAGAAATAATCAATAGGAAATAAAGGAAAAAAAATAACAAAAAACCTCAGATCTTCATAACAAAAAAAAGCAGATTATTCAAACCTAATTTTTGTTCTTTGCTGCTACAGTTGAATATCAGGATAGAAAATTTCTGACAACCCCACTAATGTGCATTGTAAAACATTTGAGAGACGAGATAGCTTTTCACTTTGTGGGGCTGACAGAATGACAGAAGACCATTCCCTGCTCTGCTAATTCATTTCTGAAGCTGAAATTCTTTTCTTCCCCTCAAAGAAAATACTGTCAAAGGATATACTGACTGCCCACTGCTTGCTTGAGCACATGATAGATAACAGCACTTTCACTTACCATCCACAAAAGAATTAGACTTTGCAAAGTGGAGAAAGGCTTCCCCACGTGCCGACTGCAGCTTGGAGAGGCGGCGCAGGGGGCCTGAGGGCAGCCTGGAGCCTGCACAAAGCTTTTGAAGGTTTGGGAGATCGGCTTGGAAGGTATCAGGGAGGGAGCAGCTGTAGATTTCTGGATTAGAGCTCAGCATCTGTTGGTCTAGAAAAAAGCAAGTAAACAAACAAAAAACCACAGAAACAAAAGCCCCCCAAAAACATAAAACATCCACAAAGAAATGAAAATAAGCAAAATGAAAATAGGTTAAAGTGGAGCAATCAAGACAGTAAAGTTCAGCCTGGGAAGAGAAACACAAATCCTTTCTAATCTTCACAATTTATCTCCCAGAGGAGTTCAGTGTCGAAGTAGCTTGTTTTAGCAACCAAAAATGTGTTTAATTGCTTTGAGTTCTGACTAGCCCTGTAGCACATAGCCTGGCTGGGAGAGTAAGCTCCATTTTTACCATGTACACCTCCCTGCACTCAGCAGAAGGGCCATGCCACATCCCTCCATGATCATCTTCAAGCCTCTGAGTGGTCACACTGCTGAAGTGGCACGTGTGAATTCAAGTCTGTATTTACAGGAGGAGTTTCCACTCAGTTACACTTGCCAAACCAAAGCCAAAGCCAAAGCGAAAAGCTGACCAAGCACCTGGCTGGATTTTAGGGAGAATAGAGTTTGACTTTCAGAATCTGGACTGGATCTGCAGAAGAAAGTTCTTTGTACAGTGCTCAGTCCTCGCTGTGGATTTCATAAAGAGGAAGGATACAAATAGCTCCACGAGTGATGAGTTCATGAAGATGAGTCCATCAGGAACTTTCCAGTCTTTCCAGCTCAGGAAAACCCTAAACCACAGATTACCAGAAGCTGGGAGGATAGAGCACGAAAACATTACTGTGCTTCTCATTTTCTTCTTCCCTTTCCCTAAGCACAAGCAAAGATGCACCTCCAGGAGCAGGATCTTGGTTTTAACAGCTCCATAGTGTGCCCAGCTTGTTTATTTATAATCTTATGCATTTCTTTGATAAAATCTGGCACTCGTAACTGAGCAAAGAGCGAAAAACAATGTAAAAGGTGTTAAGGAACATATAAGTGTGTCATCTTACCATGCCTTTTGATAGTCCTTATTCAGGACCTCCAGTGTCAGGTACTTCAAAATCTTACAGATACAGATTTTATTTTTCTTATTTTTAGGGTTCACTTTTTATGTGGCAAAAAGTACCTACAGAAATTCTGGAGAATATTTTTTCCATAGTTAGTATTTCTGACGTCAAGGCCACCATTCCTGCTAAGCAGTGATTGCTTTGCATTTGTTGAACTGCAGACTACAGCAGTTGAATAAGCTACTACTTCTGTTAAAAATGATGACCCATCCTCCTTTATATTTCTAAAGCATTTGCTATGTATGGGCTGACTTTGCCCTCAATATGCGCTTGTGACTATTATTATCTCAGTAGACCCCATGGGAGATGGAGAAAGAGTGGAAGAGTGAATTTCCCACATTCCCACAGGAAGAACTCGATAAATAGAACTGAAAGCCAAGTATGCAGTTTCCAGGCCCCACTTGGTTACCAAATTTGATAATGGAGGACAAAAGCAAGCAATTTTGGAGGCACAGCAAAAAGGAAAGGAGTCAGAGAGTTGCAGTGGTGCAAAGGCATTCTTAGGGAGAATCCTTACCTATTTCTATGAACTGCTCATACGTAAAGGTTATGCACATGGCTGTCTGTCCATAGAACTCCCCACTGGCTGGGTAACCATAGCCGTCCTCGGGAAAGGGGGGGAACAAGGGCACGCTGTGGATCACCCAGAAGCCTTGTGATTTGTCCAAGAGCAGAAACCCTATCAGAGGAAAGTTACATCAAATAAGCCCTGAGACATCGCAGTGGTGTCCTGCTTTGGATTTGCTGCTGCAGACATCATGCTTTGGTGTGTTAATGTCTACAGTGAAACTGGCTCTACAGTATATTAATGGGCTATAGAAAACACTGATATTGTGCTAAAATTGCATTAATTCTCAGCTGCGTAGCCTAACATGAACTGTCACCTCTGTGCTTTCAAAGAAAATCTTTGCAAAACCTTTTCGTTCTCTGCTCAAATACCATCTCTGAAAAATCTGATGGTTTATTGTCTGTGACTCCCTCCTCATGGCCCCCTCCCCTTCCCTTCATTTCATCACTGTGCACAGTGCAGGATGCCTGCACTGCAGGTAGGCATGGGCTCAGGGAGCAGCTCCCAGATCTGCAGCCAGATACAAAGCCCTGCCAAAGCTCTCCAGCGCCAGGCTGGGCACCACGTCCCATCTGCTTCCTCAAGGGACCACCAGGACTGCACAGCAGCTCTGTGGCTATACTGTCACTGCTTACTTAAGTGCTTCTATAATCCTTCCACAAAGATAGAAAGCTGGGAGGCTGTCTCACAGTGTGCCTTTCCCCTTGCACTGGGTGCTGCTGTCACATAGCCAGCTCAGGACGATGTGTCTGTACTTGCTGAAGGAGATACAAGAGTTTCCACTCTTGAAAACAAAGGGTCCCTAATCCATAAGAGTTCTTCAACATAGCACAGGCACAGCAGAACCAGAATAGAAGCAACTGCATCTGTCACCGCGCCGCAAACCACTCATCGTGCAAATTGCTTTCCAGTTTTGTTTTAGGCAGGATTTTTAGATATGCAGATTGACAGACAAACAAACAAATTCCACAACTTCAAAAAAGAGGAAAGCGGGGGATTCTCCCTGTACCTTTGGTGTGTCCTTTTTTCCAGCTGATGGAGCCTGAATGAGGGACCTCATCGTTATAGATTGCATACACAGTGTTGTTCCTCTGCAGGGAAACACACATTTCTGAAACACGACATTCAGTAAGAGGAAGGCCTTTAAGCAAATGACTTTTCCTGAAAGAATTCAGCAGATCTCTGCATACATCACGAGACTCTTTCCCATGTCAGCTGCCACCATCTACACAGAGCTTACACTAAAATAAACTTGAAGACTCAGCATTACGATCCTGGTTAATATCAAGCAGAAGTTCTCTCAATCATTGCAACAGTCCTTGAGGCTCAATATGCTCAATAGGACAATTTCCATGGGTTCTGTTGGGCAACCACTTACCAGAACTTCCCATCCTCTGCTTTTCTGTGTATCTCTTTCTCACTTAGCAACAAAGTCCTGTGAAAATTTCTGCTCAGGAGAAGAAACCATTTCAAGTGTTCTTATGAAGGACAAACCATGAATATTTTTTACAAAAAAATTTACATACAGTTGCACCTTATTTGCCCCGAATAAAGAGCTTTAAAGGTGTTGAGAAATGTTTCCCCACCTGCTGTGCAGTTTGCAAATGCTAGCAGTGTAGGAAGATGGCATCAGCATAGCTCAGTGTTGTGAGCTTGTAAAGATTGTTTGTATTACAGTTCCAGCATGATACAGAATAGGAGAGTCGAGTGGTTTGGCAATATTTGACCAATTTTTTTTTTAACATATAAATGTAATGACACCCTACCACTAACCCACAGCAGAAATGCAAAGACACACCCAGACTCCTAAGAATGGGAACAATGTGTAGATGCTAAAAAATAACCATGGGCAGATCTTGTGGTATTTTATGATCACACTAGTATAAAGGAAGTTTCTGACTAGAAAAAGAAATCATTACTGGTGAAGCAGTCAGAAGGCAACAGCAAAACCCAAATGCGATCTAAGGTGAAACGCAAAACACATGCAGCTGGGAGGGCTAAGGTGGGTGGTCTTTGCTGATCGGCATCAGGCTGGGCTGAGCTGACAGCTGGCTCTGTGCTTCAGCCACCACTCAACAGAAATTGCAGAAACAAAGCCATGGGGACTGTGCACCAATGTTCATCTATTTGATGGACAATACTTCAAGTGTGTGAAAGACTCAACTAGAAATTTCTAGGGCAACTTCTAATTCTAATTTTGAATATAGGGAAAATATTTAAAAGCTCTTTACAATTAGGGTGGAGGCATTGGAGCAGGTTGCCCAGATAGGCAGTGGATGCCCTGTTCATGGATACTTGCAATGTCAGTCTGGACAGGGCTCTGAGCGCTTGATCGAGCTGTAGGGGTCTCTGTTCAAAGCAGAGGAGTTGGGGTAACTGACGTTTAGGGGTCCTTTCCAACTCAAACAATTCTACGATTCTATGATTCTAATTGTAGCCAGAACTGCAAATGATCTGCCAAGCCACCAGTATGCTCACCTTGATGCATATTAGCAGATCTAGTCAGTCAGGTCTGGCTATGGCCCTACATGCTTATTTTGGCTGGTTTCATTTAATTTGCATGTACTGTCAAGTAGACATGATAGCAACACAGCAATTAAACCTTGCTTACCTTGGACTCATATGCTTTGTAGAGCTGCCCCAGTGTCTGTCCCAGAGCACTCTGTGTCATGTTGACAAGGTACCTGCCAGGCTGCCACTGCTGCGCTAGGCTGTCCATGTACAGGTACTCCAGGCCCAGCCCTGTGCCATCTCCTTTGGTGTGCTTTGGCAGCTTGTACAGAGCAAACCTGCAGCAGTGACAAACAAATTTTGTTTTTCTCACAAACCATTCTATCTCAATGCATAGGTCCATCTCTTCTCCCCCATGAGCATGTAAGGACCAAGGTGACCACAGAGATACCTGCACAGGGGTACCAGTGCTAACACTCTGGAGCCAGCAGCATCGTGTCCCTGCGGGCACCTTCAGTCTGCTTCTCTGAAGAGGCTTAGCCAGCACCAAACTACCCTTGCTATGGCCACACTGTTGTCAGTACCCTAGAATAACTAACCTTAGTTTTCCCTCACTGCACCCACATCCCTCCTGTGGCTAAAATGTGAATGCGAGCATCTGAGCAAAACTCTGTCCTGCATCTTTGTGGGGTTTTCACCCTCGGCACAAAGGATGAGGCTGAATGAGTTCTGCCTAGCATTTCAGGGACTGAACTGTGAGCTCAGCATCAGGGAGATGAAGCAGGGAAACCTATGCAGGGATGCACACTGTGGGGACATTCTCTGGTGTCCCATGCAGCCACCAAATCCATGCTGCTTGCTCCTGGCTTTCGTAAACAGGAAAAAGCTGAGCCTGAACTTCAGGTCCCAAACTCAGTCTGCCATTCTCTTGGTCAATATGGATAACTCTTACCAACAATTTCTTATTCTATACAAATAGAATTATGTATTTATATGAGCCATAATTACACTGTATATTAAATCATAAAATTATATAATTCCACTTGTTTATACACACATATAAATAAGCACAAAACCATGATTAATTATAATCCTTCAATAGCAGACATACATTCTGCTGAGCTGTTGCAAGCGGAATACTTACAAACAATCAGTAAGAAACAGAAATCTCTTCAAAATTGCAGAGTACTTGACACTGTTGGTAAATGGGTCCGTTTCTACTAGCATATCTGATGAAGTAAACAGGTTTTCCTAGTACAAAAGTCCATGGGATTAATTGCAGTGTAATTAATTGAGCCACTTGCTTTGAGTGCTCTGCTTAAGTAATTTGTTATTTATGTCAATAGTAAGAACTGAGCAGCATTATTTTCAGTCCTGTGCATAGTACTTAGCGATAATGCAGTCTGACTGCACTTAATGCTGTCAGTATGCCAGGAAGAGTAGGTCCTGCCCAGATAAATTACAGTTGGTTTAAAAAAAAAAAAAAAAAAAAAAAAAAGGCAGCTCAGAAAGCAGGTAAAAGCACCAGAAGAGCATTTTGCTAGAGGGACACTTAATCCATGGAAGGGCTCACATACAGACTGAGGAGAAGCACACACCATGCTAGTGATTCTTGTAATCTACCTGCATCCCCACTGTCTGAGGGATGTTCCAGGAGAAGGTGAAGAAGGAATTTGCAGGGGAGGTCTGGTGAGAGCGTTTCCTACTTGAGAAACTGCAGCCATCCCTTCACTTGCAATGAGGTTTTGGAAAGAACACAAATAGTAGTAGTTATACAGGTAGGAGATGAACCAAGAACTGCTGCCTGAAGCCTTTCCAAACTCCTCCAAAACGTTCTGGAAGGTCGGTGCTTTCCCCATGTTTACAGCCCTGCAGCTGACGTGCGTACAGGAATGCCCACTCCCAGGTGAGCTGAGCACTCGACCTGACAGCTGAGTGCCTCAGCAATTGAAGCTGGATGAAAGTCCTCACTGCTAACTGAGCACAGGAAGTTTCTCAAGCGCTTAAAGTATTGAAGTGTTATGGGAGTGGACTGAAATTACTTTCCTGACAATCAGGAAAAAGCAAAGTCATTAGCAGCAAAGAATCTGATTAATACAGCCACAGTGCTTGCTTCTGAGTGCGCACTGAATTACTAGAAGCAATTTTTAACCATCTTTTAATCTCTTTTTTCCACATCCTATAAAAACCAATGCACAGCCCTGGCTTCAATCCCTGTCTCTGTGTGCACAAGATGATTCTCAAAGAGTGCAGTGAACTTGGGCCAATAAAACAGAGACTTCTGCTCTCCTAAGAACAGCGGGCCTGGGGCCATATGCTGTGTGCAGGGGCTGGTGAGGTGAGCTCCCAGGTGAAACAGCACCTGTGGCCATTGCCAGCTGTACCACTCATGGAAGGAAGAGCAGGCAAGCCAGGGACACAGGTGGGAGGACAGATTCATGGCACAGTTTGGGTTGGAAGGGACCTTACAGATCCAGCTGTCCCCAAGTAGGACGCCTCCCAGTAACGTGAGTTGCCCAAAGACCCCTCCCACTCGGCTTTGGGCATTTCCAGGGAGGGATCAGAGTGGATAAGAGAAGTGATTCCTTCAGTCTAGCAGCAAAGAAAAGGTGTGTGAGTACTGGTAATAAGCAATTATGGAGAATTGCAGCAGGAAGCCACTGAACAGCAGAGACTCATACAGCTCTTGCAAGTGAAAATAAAAAAAAGAAAAGCTGTGTTTATCTGAAAGGGTGTCAACATCCTTTGCTTAAGAGGAAGCTTTTCTCAGCAGTTTCAGTTCTGCTTCGTAGCACCTGACTTCAGAATCAGGAAGAAGCAGAGGATGTTTGTTAATAAACAAGCACGACCATGCTGACAGGCAAGCTTCTCTTTTATCAGGTCACGATATGTTTGGAAGATCTCCCCTCTTCTCCCTACTACTCCTGTCAGAAGGGACCAGGGTCTGCAACTTATTCTGAAAGAAATCATTGTTTTACAGAAAAATGAAATCTTTCTTATCACCAATTTCTTGGCTGCCTGCACCAATTCAGATTCTGATTCCCAAAAAATGACTTTCATCTGGAGGTGCATTGGTAAGCAAGATGGGGCTGGGCCAGTCCCTCAGGAGCTCAATGTGAGCAGCACACTGCCTGTGCTTGGGAGCCCCTGGTGAGCCATGTGAGAGTGGTGGTACAGAGCAGCACCACCTCCTCTATTACTCATATCTGAACTAATTGCTGCTCTGTCATTCTTATTTTAAAGTGCTTAATATTTGTCCTTCAGAGGCTTCAGTGCTTTTTTTCTTTTCTTTCCTTTTTTAAAAGCCCTTGCTTTACTTTCTAAACATGGGTTGGCTGTTTTGTGATTACACTTCGTGTCTTTCATCTTCAAGGTGCATTAACCCAGTTAATCACTCGGCACCTAAGTGCTGGCTGAGCGCTGCCACACACCGCTTTCCCACACAGCCATGGCTGCCTGCGCTCCTTGCGCGTCTCCCAGCCCACTCGGGAGGCGACTGGGCCTCAGCTCCCCTGCGTGGCCAGGGGCCATCAGTGAGATCAGGGCAGGGTGCGGGCATTTTCCCAGCAGTGCTGCTGCAGGCAGTTGTGGTGCTGGCACTGGAACACAGGTGAGGCTGGCTTTGATCATCAGAAATGAACGCTGCGTAAACCTGTCATTATTTTGCAGTTAGTCATAACAGAGCAGCGTGGTTTGTTCCATGGAATGAAATCACCTTTCAGTAACCTAGCCCAGGTTTTCCTAATGTAAAATTCAGCTACTCAGAGGCAAGAAGGATTAAACCAATGCTTGTTATGTATTACTTCCCAGTGACCCGCCTACTTTGCACAGTGTAATTTTAGGCATTATTTACTCATCCAGTTTCCCTCCCATGTGCGGTGCTTACTTACCAGTCCACTGCCTCCCCGTCTTCATTCCTGCAGGAAATCTCCACTGCCCACAGGGCTGGGGAGAAGAGCAGCAGCAGCAGAGTAGGGCCGCGCCACGCAGAGCTCGCAGTCATCTCGGCGCGTGGCACAGTGAGCGCAGGGCAGGCTCCGAAAACAGAAGTCGCCCGCGTTTCCTCAGGCTGCCGGTGAACGCCCCCAGGATCGGCTAGAAGCTCGCCCGCGTCAATCCGGGCAGAAGAACGGACACGTGAAACTCGTCAATCTTGTACAACTACCCTAAAAAGCTCAGTTTTCAGACAAGCAAACCAAACCCACTTTCTCCTCTCTGCTTTTCCATGCAGCCTCTGCACTGAGCTCAGCCTTTGCATCATTCCCGGTCGCAAAGCCCCCACTTCAGCTCTGTTCCTCCATTTGCCCATGGGCACTGAACGTCCATTAGCAGGGACTGACAGCAACAAAAGCCTCTGAGCCACAGCAATTTACTTCCAGTTGGTTAGTAAGGTTTTTAAATTCCCTTTTAAATGCATTAGCATTTATCTTAGGAACAAAGTCTGAATTGAACCTAGTCTTGAAAATATTCTCGTCTCCTTTCCCATTACACTTGCACTGGAATAAGTTAATATCAGGTACCGGACGAGTCAGCTTCAGGGAAAGTTTGTTGCAGTCAGCACTGGATGTTTTAGCAGAAAAGAAAACCCCATGACCCCACAGTATTTTTCCTTCCCTCCCATTGCAGTGTCTCCAGCACGGCAGAAGCTGTGCAAGTTGGACTGCGTTTGACCAAAGCAGGATAAAAGCAATTAGGGCTTAGCGCAAACAAAAACAATGATCCCAGAAAGCCAGGATTGTGGAAGTGTGAAATGAGAGCTGAATTTTGCTGCTCAGACTTGCTTCTGATCCCTTTCATGAGCAATCAGGAATCCAGTTGCAACAAAACCCTTTCAATCAGCCCAGCCCGGCCCTTCTTTCCTTCTTTCTCTTGGGAACCACAACATGCACAGATGGGGCAACAGAAAACAAAAGTCATCAAGAACATGACAGCTGCTTTCATTCTTAGTTTGGGAGTTGTGCCTGCTCACAAAGCCACCTGCCTGCCCTGCACTGAAGCTTTGCTTCAATGCCCCTGCAGCTCCGCGTGTGATTTGCTAAAAGATCTGCCCTCCAAGAAACGTTTTAAAGTCTGTCATAGCTGCTACTCATAAAGACATCTTCTCAAAGCATTTATCCTTCTATCAGGACTTGGAAATATTTTCATTATCACAGGTAATCACAGAAATAAAACAATAAATGTTGCTTATGTTTCACTGCCTAAGTATAACTAATGCCTCTGCCGAGTTCTGTTACAACTATAGCATGTGTTTTTTCCCTTCAGATTAAGGATATAGAAGTGCTCAACTGTGAATATGGCAAGAACACAATCAAGTTCCTTCGCCTTCATAGAGAAGGGAAGAAGCACTTTGTTAAAGAAGTGGAAGTGTGCACACATCTCCGGCTGACTTCTGCTCATGAGTATTTGGATGGAAACAACTCTTTCGTGATACCTACAGACACCATTAAGAATATTGTCCTGGTGTTGGCCAAAAAAAATGGGGTATCTTTTACTTTTTAGCTATCCTTGCTTTTCTTGTCTCTTCACTGGGAAGTGTTTGTTATGCAGCATTTTAAACAGAAGGACTCTAAGTAGCTTAGTCTCTTCTTAATTCTGTTAACTGTGCTCTTACCTCCCTCAGTTCCTCATACTGTAAAGAAAATCTGCAGCTCAAGTTCTCTCTCTTTTAATGAAATCCACATACAGCATTACATCCAGGGACTCCAGCTCCCAAGTTGCAGAATGGGAGATTTTTAGCTGGATCTGGATGTTTATTTGCAGCATTTGCTGCAAGCTGATCAAGTGAGTAGGCTCGCAGAGCCAGAATTGAAAGAAATCTGTATTTTTAACAACATTGATCCTCCCTAAATATTTACAATTAGAACAATCTGCTCTTGTATGTGAGGTAATTGCTTCGTTCTAATAATATTCTTTGCTGCCTTAGATCTCAAGTATAGAACAGTTTGCTATAGATATCTGCAAACACTTCATGACAACGTTTTGCCAAGTGGCGTACGTCAAAACCTACGTTCAGGAAGTGCCATGGCAACGTCAATACCAGGTATCTGAAACACTAATGCATTCCCTTGGCTCGTGCTGGAGCCATTTGCCACTCTCTTACCCTGCTTTCCTGTTAAGGTGATGCTTTCTGCTTTCTGCATTTTAACTCACATGTCTGCTCTGGATTTTAGAACGGCGTTCCCCACATCCACTCATTCATACTTGTTCCTGATGGGATTCGCTTTTGCGAAGCTGAGCAGTGCCGGAATGGTGAGAAAAACTTTGCAGCTTCCCCTGCTTCTCTGTAAATATTTCTGCTAATGACAGAAGGTGGCTTTAGGGACAGCAAAAGCCATGGCAGGGCTTACAGAGGAACAAAACCTCTCCAGAGATCTAAACCAAGGAATAATTTTATGGTCTAATTATGTAGCCCTTGATCTCTGAGAGACAGCTAAAGATCAGCTGAGCATTGGCCCCACATTCCTGCTGAAAAAAAAAGAGAAAGCCCGTGCAGGTTTCCAGTGCCTTTTGGCATAATGTTTTGTAATGTTCACAGTATTGTTGACAACTACTACATTTTTCTCAGCTTTGGTATAATTAATTTTATCTTCTTGAAAAAAATTAAGAAAGAAACCTGAATGAAAAAAAAAAAATATTATGCTTTCTTGAGAAGCTTCTGCTTCCAGTATATGAACTGAATCTAAATATTTCATCATCATGATAATTCTGCATGCAATTTTGCAATTTCAGCCTTTACAAAGGCTTTCTGAAAAAACTGCTTTTCCTTCTTAGTCTTTTCTTCATGTACACCTTCAGTTGTTTCTTCAGGATTCTCTGCTTGGGTGAATAATAATCAGAAGATTTTCAACTCCCTTTTATTCTCCTTATAAGTGAGCCTTCTCTATCTTTAGCATCCTCCCATGCACCTAGCAGCCAGACACATAAATTTACTTCTCTGTTAACCCTATGTTTTAACACTTTACTCATCATTAAAAGAAAACTTGTGAGGCTTAATAGAATTACAACCTTTTCTTTTTCTTCTTCTTTTTTTTTTTTTTTTTTTTTTTTCCTCCCCTGCACTATTTCAATTGATTGGAGGCTCAGAATTTTTTAAAACCTGAAAACATCAGAAGTAACTTAATCACAGCACAGCACAGGGTTAGAAGGGACCTCTAAAGATCATCCATTCCAATTCTCAGTGGAGTTGCCGTCAGATAACTGAAAAAACAGTACAAGCACAAAAGCTTCTGAAAGCACAGGGACATTCAGCTCTTTAAAAACTTTGTCTAGGTGTTATAGTTCTACCTAGACAACTACCCAGCCAGCATTTCATTAAAGCATTTGTTGCAAGCAGTCTTTTCAAACAACAGTATGCATTTGAATATGAGATACTTCAAGGTACACTGGTATTATTTGCATTACATTTGTACCCAATTATCTTATACCTGAGCAATGAAGTCATCAAGATCTGAAGCAAATCCAGTATATTCTGTTCAACAATATTGGGCAGATAAATCTTTAGATTCTACAAAGCTTTGGTGAATAATGAGGGAATGTAGTCAAAGTAATAGATAACACCTCCCTGGACCCATTCAAAAAAGCAATGATGAATGTAAACAAGAAAATAAATGGATGAAATACAGTTTTAATCATACCCAGTAACAAGGTATTTAAACAAACAAACAAAAAAAACACTCTAAACAATCATGTCATTTGGAAATATCCATCACAGCAAAATTACTCTCAATATAACTTTCACTGAATCATAGAATGGCCTGGGTTGAAAAGAACCTCAAAAATCACCTAGTTTCAACCCCCCTGCTTGGGAGCCACCAGACCAGGCTGCCCAGAGCCACATCCAGCCTGGCTTTGAATGCCTCCAGTGACAGGGCATCTACAACTTCCTTGGGCAACCTGTTCCAGTGCGCCACCCTCTGAGTGAAAAACTTCTTCCTAATATCTAACCTAATCCTCCCCTGTCTCAGTTTAAAACCATTCCCCCTTCGTCCTATCACTATCCACCCTCATAAAACAGCTGTTCCCCCTCCTGTTTATATGCTCCTTTCTTCAAAGGCAATTTAAGGACAAAGTGTGTCAGTCCTCCAAGTCAAAGGCAGGATTACTATGTGCCAGGCTTACTGAAGGATTAATTTTAAATTAGCTAGTGTGTGCATGAAGAGCACAAAGCAGCAGCATGGGCTTCAGCAGTGACCATCTATATGGGCTCTGGGTAAGTCTGCATAGTGTAAAGTTCCTCTTTCCCAAATTTGCATTTTTGGCAGCTCTGCTCAGTGAAATTTTCAGTTATCAGTTTGGTGTAATCTAAATGACTGACCACATGAATTTTTTCAGCTGCCATCCAAAATGACAGAATAAAATGTTCAGGACACAACTGTTAGCTCTTGAGAAAATTATAATCCGCCCATGCAGCATTGATCTGCAACAGCTCATTTTATAAATAGTGGCTACAAGGAAAACACTGTCAGTTTGAACCTGTGGGTGGTATCTGTATTAATGCCAGTTCCTGCTAATTAGCTGAACTGCAAGCATTTGCATTGGCTCCTTGCCCTCGCGTTCTTAGGGATGCAAAACACAACAGGATGGATATGTAAAGTGAATTTCTGGCTGAGGCTCCCAGTCTTTGTATAACCTACCTTTCAACACTTCTCCATGTTAGAAAAGGCCTCCCTTTACCTCTCCTGTAACACTGCACCACAGCACCAGTAGCTCATTTCATTTCCCTTCTGAGCAATTAGTGATCCCCAAGTTGACATCAGTAAGAGCCTACCTGATATGCATCCCAGCTCCAAGGAAGTGAGAGAAGAGGTGTCCTCGATTCTCTACTGCAGGTCACTCAAGAAGATTCTCTTCTTTCTAGACTGAGCTCTGATTTCAGTGGCTTCTGTCTTGTTTCTTGCCTTCTTGCTAACATCAGCACACAGAAAATAATTTTTAGAAGTAGTTAGCCTTGCAGCAGAAATGTGCAAGTCATGGAGTAGTCATTACCTGACGGCTCTAGAACCGCTACTACAAGTGAACAAGCAGAGATCCTTTCTGTCTGCCTCTGAAAAGGGCTCATGCTATCACATATTTCTGGCTCACAGGTCCTCTGGTTGTTTTTGCTGGAA